CACACACACACACACACACACACACACACACACACGTAGTAGTGTATATTTCGATGTTCTAGCGGAAGATTCATTCGATTTTCCTCATTCCATCGATGGAAGTAGCGTCAGGCCAGTTGCAATTTTTGACTTTTACAGTTGGCATGTACTCTGCATCCATGAATATCTCCATGAATATTTATTCCAGACTTTTGCCGAAGAGCAAAAGGTTGCCCGAGTGGGGACACTAAAAAACTGTGGCCATGTACCTGATCAGATGATAACTTTGAATGTTGAATGAATCAGACGGATGCAAACATTTTTGTTCCCCTGCCCTGGACCCCCCCCACGTTAGATGCTCTTTAACTTTAAGTTGTCATTACTCACAACAAATACAAACGTCGTCGAGCACTTTTTAAACAAACAACCACGAGCTTTCCCAGACGACCTTACCCCACCACTACCTTTCCCAGACAATTCCCAGAATCGAAAATGTAACAATGAATGAACAGTGAGTGCTACCTGAGGAACGCCGGTGGTGCCAGCCAAGACGAAAAAACTCTTTTCCCTCCGCTCCCATCGTCTTTCCTGCCCACTCTTCCGCCCATCTTGCCCAATGCAGTACGCATCCAATCAACAGGACAAGTCAGCAATCGGAAGCGCCATCTTTTCCCTCCGCTCCCATGTATTGCACAAGTCTACAAACCCTTTTGGTTCCCACAAACTCTTTTGGTTCCAACAACATATAACTCGAGACATAGTAAACATCGACATCCACTCTGTGACTGCACGGTGCGACTTCTGCACAATTGGACTGACATAACTCCTCTTAAACTCTCCCCCCCTCTGCGCCACAAACAGGGATTTCTGGTGACACTCGGAAATTAACAAACTCATCCATGATGTAGTACTCCTACCGGTAGTCAGTGTTGGGATCCCTACCTCTTCGGATCCCTACCTCTTGGGATCCCTATCCCTTGGGAAAAGGTCAAGGGTTCAAATCCACCACAATCTTGTCCTCAGCTCTCTCGTTTTGAAAAGACATCTACTCAGTGCCCGCCAAAACATTAGGCAGGCATAAATTCTTCGTGAGCTTCCAATAAAAAACATGAAACTCGCCAAGAAAGAACGTTCTGACCCCTCTTTCCGATCGTTCCCCACACCATCCCCCTTGAATAAGTCAACATACCTGAAATGATGAAATCCCATTCGGGTCTCTAACCAGTTACGCTTCCACTTCTCCTCTCCTTCCTAGACTCGAGGTGAGACATGACATGCATGCACTAGTCTGCACTCTAGTCTCCCAAACCTGTCGTATACAGTTGTGTCGTATACAGTTGTGGCAACACTCAACAGAAACAAACAAACAGTCAAACGGGCTACTTAACAACCCCCAACCCCCCCCCCCCCCCCCGCCCAAAAAAAAGCAACAAACGGGTTTGCGATGATTCAACGCGCTTCTCCGGAAGGGAAGACTTCCATTATCCCCCCCCCCACACAACTGAGGAGTTTCAGTTGTTCCATGTGCCTCTCCATGGCCCAAACTCTTGGTTAACGGTATAGCTGAGCTGTTTCCAGAACAAACCTCCCGACAGAACAAAACTCGTTGTTTCACCGTATGTGATCATATGGACATACTCAGGGGTATACTCGCACTGGAACTTTCCGCAATGTACATGACCGCTTTTCCAACCCCGACTGGATGCACCTGACTGCAATTACGTCCGCAGAGAACTAGAAAACATCCCAGCGTGCGAGTATGCATCTCCTCTCCTCTGCTCATGCAGGAAACGAAACAACGTTGATCATGTTTGTCCCCATACGAAGTCTGTTCCCAGTCCCAGTCCCCAAAATTGGGACTCCTGCAGTTCCAAAAATTGGGTCTCCTGCAGTCCCAAAAATTGGGTCTCCTGCAGTCCCAAAAATTGGGACTCCTCCAGCTACACCATTTGCTAGGTCCATCACACAGCACAGCACCACACCTCACCCCACACCAATTCCTGACCCCTCACCAATTCCTCCCTGGAAAGTCTGCGACCTGCTGCTGCCAGCGGTTGACTCAGTTGAGTGTCAACGAAGTGCTCACTGCCACACCCGTCCCGCTAACTTCGAGGCTCGAGCCGCACCGCTTCTGAGTGGTGTTTTTTTTTTTCACCCGACACGAACTTGCTGCTGCAGTCTATGAATCTTACCATTCCCAAATACCCATCCTCAGCTGCCTGAGGGGGTCATCTTTCACACCTGTCGCATAGCAATGAAATTGCCAGCCTGTTCAACTGGCAGCGATAATACTCGAGTCGGACCTGTCAGACCTGCTACCAACTTGAAATTGTTTTTCAAATCTTTCATGGCGGCCTGGAGTTCAAATGTCTTAACATATGACCAAATACCCATCCCATCCTTAACTGGCTGAGGGAGTCATCTTTCACACCTCTGTCACCTACGTTACGGAACAGTGGAAGTTTGCCGGCCTGCTCAACTGCCGAAGATAATAGTCAAGTACTCTGAAAAGCTGTTGATGGCAACTTCGTGATCAGAGCATGCAGAGCACTTTCAAGGCTTCTCTCTGGCTCGCAATATATACATAGATAGAAAACCTCAGCGCCCTCGTTCGCTGGGTGATGTCTGCAGTCCAGCATTGCAGACAATGGTGAGGACCACATGGGCACTCCCTGCCCCACAGAAGCAAGCACTAGGTAGTGTGGAGCAGGTTTGTAGTACAGAAACTGCTCCCCCTGACTTCTACCAGAGTTCCCCGATATTGGCCGCGATATGTTTCACCTTACGCTGCCGCATGCCAATTTGTGGATGACATTCTTTTGCCAGTCCAGTCACCCACCCTCCTCCTCCCCAAGGACGTTGGCAACCGCAGGCGGGGATAATTTTTCCCAACTGGTCCTGGAACCCTACCCCAGTTGCAGTTGCGCTTCGTCGATCCTCACCAAAGAATAGTTTATTGTGACTCACAACACGATGTTGTGAAAGCTTAAGGTATGGTTGGTTGCACATCCACGTTCTTATCCAGAATATCACACGCCTCCCGTGTTCTTCTCTTCCTTGTTCCCATGGCACTTGCCCACTGCTGCACTGCTTCTGTACGAGCACGAGGTTTCTTAAGACATTCTTGGTGGAGCGATAGTCATCGCAAAGTCGAAAAACAACGGTGCACTGTACAGAAATCCAGCCTAGGGGGCTTTGGGTGACAGATCGTTCTCGCTGCTTATATCCGATACCCCGGAGAGGGAGCGCTTATGCTCTACCCTCTTGGGCTGCATGTACGCAAGAGCGGCAAGACCGTCAGGCTGCACAACGGCAGCCACAACTCGGGAATTGTTGCCCACCAATCGGACCCCCCTCGAGCAAGACCCAAACCCCCCCACTCCAATCCAGATACCCCTGGGTATTCCCAAACTGTAGGGGCTGTTGGTTCCTGCAAAGCCATACGAGGCCTCCCCCAACTCACTTTCCACCTCTAGCCTCACCGGTTCGTCCCCTGTGGCAGCGGAATTGGAATGCAGGGGGTTGAATGGGGCTGTGAAACCCTCTTCGTTTGCGGATCCCAAGCGAGACGAGGTGCCAAAACCCGGGCGTGAGAAGTCTGTCAATCCTGGTGGCCGCCTTCTAGATCTCGCAGCACGATGAACTCGGTGAATGATCACGGAAGCAATCGTACAGAAGACGACAGCGCTCAAGACTCCGCTGACCAGCCACAACGCTGTCTCAAGAGATCGTGTGTTTGGTTTCGAAGACAGTCTCTCGCAAGACGGACCAACGCAACTCACCGGAAACTGTCCTTCCTTCTGGTCCTCCTTGTGGTCCTGCTGTTGGGCCGTTCCATTCCCAGAAGAAGTCTCACTCAACATTCCTCCCTGCGACTCCTCTCCGGTTGTTTGGTTAATGCCGACACGAGGAACAATGCCAACGTTTGCTCCTATCCCTCCACGGCGAGCATTAATTATGGATGTTGGCTCCTGGACTGCTGTGCCATTCCATGCCATGTCAGAAATGACACGTCTCAACAGGTCCACATGTGTAGACGCTGGCTGAACTCCATTAACGCCATGCAGGGCGGAAGTTAAATTAGCTTCTGATGCTTTTAAGTCCCCTGTAGCCGATCTTGTCAGACTCACTAAGACCTCAATCTGACGGGCAGCTCCACGAAATGTGAAAAAACATGCCGCAACTCTCAACCCAGTATTGTTGTGCTCCCCGAGTATCTCATCCTCAAAATGAGTTTGATTAGAATTCAATTGGCACAGTGCATTTCCCACTTCCAACACCTGCAAGAAGGACAAGACACAAAGCATGTCAAACCTGTGGAGGGCAAAAAAGTTGAAAAAAACAACCAACCAAAACAAAAGGGTGCAACAGAAAAACCGGTGGAGTGGAAACAAAGAGAAGAACCACCATCCATCAAGCAGGCTGGTCTGGCCTCACCTTACTTTTGACTATTTGATTGGGATCTCCTTTCTCAACTTTTCCCCTATGGTGGCTTGGGTTCTCCTTCCTCAAGTTCTTCCCTTGGATGCTCTCTGCCACATACGGCATCCTCTCTTTTTTTTTTTTTTGGAAACAGGACCTTAATTCTCGCTCCTTTTCCATTCTGCGGAGCATCAGTCCAGTTCCTATTCCACTGGCAAGTCGAAAGGTGTTACATAAGGAACACACACACACACACACACACACACACACACACACACACACACACTCACACACACACACACTCTTCCCCTTTACAGTGGGGAAGCCTGAGCGATGGCCTTCATTACTTCCGGACAGAAGGATGTACCACCCCACACCCCTGCCTACGTTTGCTTGGTCCACTAAACTACGGCTCCTGTGTAGTTTGACTCGAGCACAGGTGATCTCGTGGCAATTGCTTGCTTGCCGTGGCTTTGTCTAGCCAGTTTCTCTCAGTTCCTTGACTGTCGGATTGTCTGTGAGCGCTGAAACGGCAGACATGGCCTTCTTTTCCCTCGTCATTCTGGGAAGAGTCAGTCCCGTTTCCTATTCCACCGGCAAGTCAAAGTACAATACAAACATACTCACACTTCCTCCCGTTTGCCTGACGGACCCCTGAATGCCATTGGTTGCCCCAGCGATGTGGGGGATTGACTGTCAGCTTGTCTTACGTTCTAGCTTTCCTCTCAAGTCCAACTCCTGACCCTGTCGTATATGTCATTAACGCAAGAAATGATTTAGACGAAGAATGATAATATTGACTCAGATCTTCCCAAATCCACTGCTTTTGGCCCTGAAAGTCTACATAACCTGTAGAGAAGCTCGTCCATCCGTTTGCTCCACCCGTTTGCTCCACATATGAAGCCCTTAAAATCACTAAATCGCAAAACCATTGCCCACAGAAGTCCCTACACAAGGACTCGATAGTTCGCGATTTTGAAGGTCTGGAGTGACTATGCCCTCATTTTCCCACATACCTTACCTATGTGGGAGACTGCGTATACCGTTCCAGTTTGAATGGACGTCCTGAAGGATAGCGTGAATAGTACATGGCCCCAAGGCCCCCAACCAAGTCGATAATCCGATTGCGCCTCTACTAAAATTCGGAGGATCGGGACAGGGCATCCAAAGCCAGTATAAAAAGAAATTGTCCCATGCCATGGGGTGGCACTAGGCCCAGCCCTGAACCAATCAAAAGAAAGAAATCCGCCTGCCCCCAGGCGGGCCCTGTCCCGAGTCCCCTAACTTTTCGGAGAGTCTCATTTTAATTCTTCAAATACTGGTGGTTTAGGGTTATGGTCACACTTCAAGACACTCATTTTTTCCCCACATACTATATCTGTTGCCGATTGTCTATACCGTTCCAATTTTAATAGGCTTCCCAACGGACAATGTGAAGATTTATCGTCATGGTCGCAGCTCAAAATTTAAAGGCAGTAGCATGCACTGTCCGTCTTTCAGCCAACCCATGCCGCCGCCCATCCTGGTGTGATATTAATTGAGGGAAAAAACGTCAAAAAACTTTTTTTTCAGAAAAGCAAAAATAGTATTGGAAGACTAACAACTACTTGTCCTCCAGGACATTTGTAATAATTGGAACGCTACAGAGAAGGGTAATTACAGATTAGCAAATCGCCCCTGTGCAAGGATGACACGCATAAATCGAGAAATGTCTGAAACGGTCTTTTTAAAAAAAAGACTTCCTACTAGTTCCTAGTAGTTCCTATGATTTACTACTTGCCTCGTCAATATGCTTGGGAGAAGTGATAGACTGAGCTGCCGCATCCACATCACCGAGTCTTACGATAGACTCCAGCCCCCATCGGAGAAGCCAGGCTCGTGAGCGATCAGCAAGGTCCTTGAGATATGAGACCCGTTGAACATTCCCCGTCTCATCCGCCATCAACCCCCCAACACCGTCCCCGGTGCTGCTCACGTTCTCATCGCTCTTGATTGATGGCACCCTGATTGCCCGTAAGCGACTCTCAATGGACTGCAAGTCTTCGTCTGATGTGAGAGTCGCTGCGCTCATCTGCTTCAGAGCAACACTGTCTGAAACGTTGAGATCTAGTACTCTCCTCAGTAGAGCTGCGAGCACAGACAACGACCAACATTACCACGGCAGTTCATGCCATGAAGTCTCATCATAACCGCTCAGCCATGGATACATTGCATATATGAAGAATAGATATAGGTACAATAAGAAAAGCTGTTTATAATGTCGATGAATTGCAAGAAAAAGTATAGTGAAAGATATACAATATGATAGTCAGAACACCGACTGGCGGCAGTGGCACACAGCGCAGAACAGCAGAACAGCAGAACAGCAGAACACAGAACAGAACAGAAAAGCACAGCACGGAATAAGACAGCTTAGCAAGAACCTGCATCGAAGTGCAACAGCACAAGAAGCGCTACAGCCGCTGGCAGCACAAAGCACAGCACAGCACAGCACAATACGGCGGCAGAGCTCACTTGACGAGAACGAGATAACATAGAAGACGAACGCCTGGTATGTTTGCAACTCTGCACAAAGTTACAAACACAACCACACGACAGTCAGAGTCCGCATAGAGCCTGCAAAAGAAGCTGGGTGTGCCAGCCTTTGCACTACGTGGCACGATCCAGAGTAACAGCACAAGGCAATAAGCAACACAAACCGGAGCACACAGCATAGAGAGTCATCGAGCACACAGAAGTTAAAGAACGGCCCAGCTCAACAGAGCACAATGAACACACCAGCCCACGGCAAAGAACAAATACAGCCACACCCAGTGCAGCAGTAAGCACAACAAATAGGTAACGTCAGGTAGCACACTAGCCAGCATGAGACTTCCAAAAAAAAAAAAAAAAAAAAAAAAAAAACAATGAAGTGAAGGTCAAGGCCCCACCCACCCAACCACATGCTGCCAGGGGACGTCAATTTTTTTCAGAGTTCAAACACGTCCATCCATGATCACACTTCCACACTCGGTTGAGATACAATCAGACTCGATTGCATCTTCATATAAAACTAGAAACAGGCTGAAAAGTTAGGATACAATAGTTTATGAAACCAGGATACAGTACAACAAAGCAATAGAGAACGGGGCGAAATTCACATTTCCATCATGAGCCGAGTCCTGGTCCCAGAGTCCCCATGGTTCCAGTCCCAAGAACAGGAGCCAAACCAGCAGGCCCAGCGGCCCGAATGCTGATGCACGCCTGGCAGGTCATTAGAAGTCCTGGGGTGGTGGAAGTTCCGTACACCGGTCCCTGAAAGTCTTCGTCAAATTTTGGCAGCAGCATCCAAGGCAGACCCAGAGACATCCAGAACCTGGTAATTGCGGCTGACAGGCCGTGGAGGCCGTTGCTGGTCTGGACCCGATAAATATTGTCCAATGGGCTGGTAGCCTGGTACTTGAGCAGCAGCTGCCGGGTGTGGTTGACACACGAGAGAGAGAGAGAGAGAGAGAGAGAGAGAGAGAGAGAGAGAGAGAGAGAGAGA